CATTAGCACCTCTAGTCATATATTGACTGAGAAAAATGTTGATGTGTTCAATACTTATTTTACCAGCTGTAAGTCTTAATTAGCTGGGAGGAGTGAGTGAGTGCTGAGAGTCAAGCCCTCTGTTTCTCCAACATGATCTGACCCAAGCTCTGACCATAACGCACACAAACTGGACGGGAGCTCCTCTTCACAGTTCATGGGGTTTCATGTCCAGATGGTAATGAGTTTCAGACAGCAGCCTGTATTACATGAGGGACAACCATTCTAATTATGTGTTTGTCCAACAGAAGCCTCCACAAGAGGCCAACTCTAAATGTTTTTAATTAATTATTGATGGCCTAGAATCTACTATAGACCTTTGTAGTACTGTCAGTAGAAAGCAGTTTCTATTCAGAAGCTTGAAAAGAGCTAAACTCACTGGAAAGATAAAGCTTCAGGGACACATTAATMAACTGTACTTATCTCTAAACCAGTGGAGAACCATCAGGACCTTGGAGGTATTCAATAAAAGTTCTGAGTGGACCCAAGAGAAACATGTTAAATAAGTACATTTTGTCATTTTGTAAGTAAAATAAAATGAGAAATTATATGGTTTGTTTGTTTAACAATAACAGTGTACATAAATGAGCAGGTCCATGTTCAGTGAATGTTCCAGAGTTAGTCAAGCAGATATTTTTCCTTCTGTTGTCCTTTGTCAGGTTTTACAAGACAACCTAAAAATGAAATACAATCAATTGCATCAAAAGAGTAAACAAACAAATACCATTCAGCCTCTAAAACATGATTTCTCAAAACCACAGACCAGTGACACACTGGCTGTAGTTAAAGTAGGGTCTCATTAGCCTCTGGTGGTTGGAGACTATTTGGTGACTCAAAATGCAAGAAAACYTTTTATTGACCAGCAATGCATGCAGCCATTTTTACATATCAATCTTTTGAAAATAAGTTGTTTTCTGTTGTTTTTGCAAAACTGTATTCCACCTCCCCCCACGTAGTACACACCTCCACACACTTTATATGCCCATTGGCTGCTGCCCCCACATTTATATGTTCAGAATTCAGGCAACAAGATTGCAAATAAGAACACATGTGACTGTTCTGAGACATTTTAAGGAATCATGAAAGTGCTTTAGAATTTTAAACCAACTTGCTTGATTGCTTTTATTAGGTTTGCTTTCCATTAGGTTTTAGGTATCTATCAATCCGTCCTTTAGTTTCCGCTTATTCTGAGTTTTAGAATAAACTTGAGCAGGGAGTCACAGACCTCTCTTTCCCCAGCCACCTCTTCCACCTCTTCTGGGAGGATTCCAAGGAGTTCCCCAGCCAGCCAAGAGACATAGTCTCCATCATGCCGCTCCACTCGATGTGGAGGAGCAGTGGCTCTACTTTGAGTCTCTCCCAGATGACTGACTTTCTTAAAGGTGGAGTCCATCTTTACTCTGTGGAGAAAACTCATTTCGACCTCTTGTATCCCCAATCTTCTTCTTTTGGTCATTATCCAAAGTTTGTGGCCATATGTGAGTCTAGGAACATAGACTGATCGGTAAACAGAGAGTTTTGCATTACAGCTCAGCTCCTTCCTCACCACAAAAAATGGATACAGTCTGCAAAATTGTGGAAGCTGCACCAGTCTGTTAATCTCCATTCTTCCCTCACTATGAACAAAACCCTAAAATACTTGAAATCCTCCACTTGAGGCAGAACTTCACCCCCCAACCCGGAGGGAGCAATCCACCCTTTTTCTGACTGAGTACCATGGAGTCAGATTTGAGGGTGATGATCCTCATCCCAGCTGTGAACCACTCTAGTGAGAATTAAAGGTCACGACACGATGATGCCAACATAACCACATCAGCGCAAATAGCAGAGATGAAATCCTCAGGCCACCGYTCTGGACTCCCTCCATCCCCTGGCTGCACCAAGAAATTCTATCCGCGAAAGTTATGAACAAAATCGGTGAACAGGCAGCCCTGGAAAAGTCCAACTCCCACTCTGAAGGGGTCAGACTTACTGCTGGCAATGTGAACCAATCTGTTGCACCACTTGTATCAGGACTGAATGGTTTGTAACATCCATCCATCCATCCATCCATTATCTACACCCGTTTCTTCCTTTCAGGGTCACAGGGGTCACTGGTGTCCATATCCATCAGTCACACTGCGAGGGGCTGGGTGCATCCTGGATAGGTTGCAAGTCCATCACAGGGCCACACATAGAGACAATCGAGACAGACAACCACTCACTCACACCTAGGGACAATTTAGAATTATCAATTAACCTAATAGTCATGTTTTTGGTCTGTGGGAGGAAGCCGGAGTACCAGGAGAGAACCCACACATGCACAGAGAGAACATGCAAACTATACCCAGAAAGGTCCTCAGGCCAGGATTTGAACCAGCGACCTTCTTGCTGAGAGGCAACAGCTCTACCAACTAAGCCACCATGCTGGTTCGTAACAATGAACCCATAATTCCATACTCGCGTAGCACCCCCCACAGTGTACCTTGAGGAACACGGTCAAATGCTTTTCCCAATTCCACAAAACACATGTAGACTGGATGGGAAAACTCCCATGACCCCTCGAGGACCCTAGTGATGGTAAAAAGTTGGTCCAGTGTTCCACAGCCAGGGCAGAACCTGCATTGTTCCTCCTGAATCTGAGGTTGAGCCATCGATTAGACTCTTTTTTCTAGTAACACTAAATAGACCTTACCACGGAGTCTAAGGAGAGTGATACCCCTACAATAGGAAATGCCTTCAGGTTCCCCTTTTTGAAGAGGAGACACTGCCAATCCAGTGGCACTGCCCCTGATGTCCACCCAATGTTGCAAAGGCATGTAAATCAAGGCAGCCCCATTACATTCAWATCCTTAAGGAAATCAGGGTGGATCTCGTCCACCCAGAGCTCTGCCGCTGTGGAGCTTCAGCGACCTCAGCCCCAGTTATGGACAGGCCAACCCTAAAATCCCCAAACTCAGCTTCCTCCATAGAACACGTCGATGGGATTTAGACGGTTTAAGAAGCATTTCTTCCAACTCCTGACCATCACTGGTTGAGGTAACAGCACCCCTCCTTCGATGAGCACAGGGTTAGAGAAGTGATGCTTCCCCCTCCTTAGCCGTCAGGTGGTTTGCCAGAATTTCCTCAGAGCCTACCAAGAGTCTTTGTCCAAGGCCTCATTAAACTTCTCCCATATCCAAGCTTTTGCCTCAGCAACAGCCATGGCTGCAGCCTGCTTGGTCATGCTTGCAACATGCAACTCCCATCATCATTACAGAAAAAGCTACATAAAGCAGCAGAACGAGGACAGATGTTTTATGTCTTTGTATTTCCAAAAGCTTTATCCACAAAGACCAAAAACCTCAACTTAATCACGCACACACATGAACACAGCACCCAATTGGTTTCAGTTTCTGAAACTGTGAATTTCAACAAAAACAAATACTGAAACCCAGTGTGTAGATAATTTATGGACTCTATAACCCAGTCTTGTTTAATCCGATGTTGTGTTTTCACTATTTACAGATCAGCTATCAGAGTATTGAGTCTTCTGACCCGGGTATTAATGTCCCCGGTCCTCGTCGTACTGTATCCAAACTGAGGAACGAAACCTACCACATGTTCTCGGGCCTGTATCCTGGAACCACCTACCTGGTGTCGGTCCGAGCCCGCACCGCCAAAGGCTTTGGCCAGACCGCGCTGACTGAGATCACCACCAACATTTCTGGTGAGGCCTTGTTGTTGCTGCTGTTGTGTGTGTGTGTGTGTGTGGGGGTGGGTGTTTCTGGTGACATTTGGGGGCAATTTTAAGACAAAATGCCTGCCTTTGGGGACAACTGGTGCATTTTGGGGAAAAAAGTGGAGTCCCCATTTGGTTTAAATGCCATTGGTGTGTTGGGGGTTGGATTTAGGACCAAGGTGTGAATTGAGTTTAGGTTAGTTTTAGGGTCAGATAGGTACCTGTGAGGTTAGCTTTAGGTTAAATGGTCAGGGTAAGGATATACAATTACGAAAACATGAATGAAAGTCAATGGATGGGCCCCACAAGGATGAAAAAGTAAGTGTGTGTGTGTGTTTGAACAGAGGAATGGTGAAGTCACAGTTTTTGACTGACTAATGTACCTGTTTGATACTGTATTTGATCATCCTTAAATAGATTTTTTTCTGACTGTTACAACACAGCATTTGTGTGAACTTGTAATTCTCTTTCTCAGAAGATTAGATTGACTTACTTATATACTTTTAAATTATACAAATTAAGATTCTTCACGCTCAGGCACACAGCTTTCAGATATACACCGACTTCATTTGACAGAGAACAAATTACAGCTAAGTACAAATGTTCCACATGAATGGTTTGGGTGAAAACAGCTTTGTTCTCAGAGGCCCAACATCAGACAATCTGTTTGTGGAAGTACAGGTGTGGGTCTAAAACCTGATGCTGATCTCTTGGAGTCAAAAGGAGAGAGGCAGGATCCAAACTGGACCAGTTCCTAGTTCATTACATGACAACATGGAGATAATAGAAGCTTCCAGACTGCCGGCGAATTATTTCACAGTTTTWATAATCACCTGAGGCACCTTTTTCTCCTGCTAATGAAAGTGAAGTGATATAAGCTTTCAGCTTGTCTGCGTTTGTTGATCTGTAATGTCTGCAAAATATCTCAAGGACCACTGGACAGATTTTAATGAAACCTTCAGGAAGTAATCCCTGCGTAAACATCTACATTTGATTATCTTTTGCAATCACTCCAGTTCAAAATGGCCACCACCTCTAATCCACTAATCCAACACAACAATAACTCTAACCCAGGCAGTTTTACAGGTGTTGAGCTACATTTTATGGTAAATGGTCTGAACTTATATAGTGCTTTATCAAGCCTGATCGGACCCCAAAGCACGTTTACACTTCAGTCGTTCCCCAGTCACACACACATTCTCACACTGATGGTGGTAAGCTGCATTGTAGCCACAGCTGCCCTGGGGCTCACTGACAGAGGCAGGGCTGCTGTGCACCAGCCCACCGGACCCTCTAACCAGCATCAGTAGGTAAAGTGGGTGAAGTGTCTTGCCTGAGGATACAACGATTGAGACGGCTGGGACTGGGGATCAAGCCGGCGACCCTCCAGTTACAGGTCGACCTCAAACCCTAACCCCTCCATCGCAGCCGCCCATTTTAGCATGTCGTCCTCTGAGAGCTAACAGATCCTGTGAGATAACTGTTTATCTGGTCTTTTGGGGTTCTTCTTCATAACTAGTGCCACTTAGTGTCGGTACAGTTTGGTATGGTTCCAAGCCGTTTCCATTAGGCCAGATACATGGAACCAGCTCCTTTTTAGTACCTACTTCGTTGTGGTTCCAAGTGGTCCCAGTTGACACCAAAATGCAACATCAGAATACTGTTCGTCACTGATTGGCTAGGGGGTGGAGTCGCTGGTTGCGTCTGAGCTGCCTTTACAACAACAACTTGAGGCGCCATTTTTTCATTTGTAGCAGTGACATTAGTCGTGCTTCCATCCAACTTTYATTCAAAATTTTAACGAATTTTTTAAATTTCAGAACTTATTCGGCAAATGTGTTTCTGTCTCTCTTTTTTGCGCATTAACTCTTTTCTGAAAAACCCCAAAACACACCCACTGGAACCGGACTGGAACGTCAGTGGAAAAGCACCCGAACTGACCTGTTCTGACATTGACCGTACCGACGYAAAAGGGGCGTTACTTGGTTTCACAGGAACTGTCGATGGGATTGGTCTGTTTATAAACGGATGTTGATTTGTTGAGCAAGCTGAATGCTCTCCAAGCTGTTGGGCTTTTGCATTTCTAAAGCAGGAGCTGAAGAGCTTTCTGTTGTTGTGTTAGATGCGTTCTTAAACTGATCCGAGTTTTCTTCCAAATCCTGAGACTCACAACACAGTTCCAGCATGGAATCCTACGTTTGTTGTATTTTCTTGTACAGAGGTGACATTATCATGCAGATTGTGCATGTTGAGCAGTAGAAGTGTTGRCCTGATTATTTGAAATAAAACATGTTTCTTTCTGTTTCGTAGCGGCAATAAAAGTGTCATAATTAGAAACAAAATTAACCCAGAGTTCAAATTTGTAGACAACTGAAAAGAATCCATCTAAAGACTAAAATACAACTCAAATGATTTTATATTGGRGAAAGAAGACAACGGCTCCTGAGGTGATAATGTGGCTGATGCAGAAGAGGGGGTCAGGGCTCCAGAAGGAGGAGGTTCTGAGGACTGAGGAACAATAATTAATAGATTTTCCTCACAGAGAAGCTGAGGAGGAGCAGATGGGTAGAAACAGGCTGAATGTTCCACAGCAGCACTCATTCTCAAAGTCYGRGTGATGTCATTCAGTCACGTGATTTCAACCTCCATTTTTATACAGGGGAAACTGTGTCAAAAGTAGAGACTTCAAACTATACAGCAGTTTTTAAATTATGTCGTTAGGTTAAAAACAGATTTACGATAAATGGCATATCTTACTATTTTTTTCTGAAAATGAACATTTTATTTTGAAGCGCGTTGCAGCTGAAGGGAGCAGGAAACACGGTAATCTCATGGAAAAAACACCGCGGTCCATCGTCAGTCTCATCTTTCTCTTAAACCGAAAAAATATAACCCCTCAGACCTCGTTTCTGATTGAGGCTCAAAGTTATCTGACAAACAGTAAAAAATCTACAGGAAGAAGAAAATAAAAAGAGGCGAAATTTGAATGGAGATTGGCGGCAATGAAGAGACGGTGAGAGCAGGACTTTATTAATTAGATCRGTGACTTTAAACATGTTTGGATTTTATAGTTATTGTGTAGTTCTGAGTGTTTACTCTTTATTTTAGCCAGTTTTAGTGTGTTTTAAATCAAAACAATGAGGCAATTCTTTTAAAACAAGAAGTACGGAGGTCTGCAGAGGCAGAACGACAACACTTCTTATTTCTCTCCCCTCACTCTTGCAGTTAGAAAATATATATATTTTTTATCTCTGGATGTTTCTTTTTACGTGATAAGTGCAGTCCTACAGCAACTTTTCACRATTTTTCCTATTTTCCACGTAGAGGAACTCATCATATGTCCCCCCCAAACCAATATGTCAGCCTCCGTCTACAACATGGTCACGTGACAAAGTACCCGGCTGTTCGACTTTGAAAATCAAGTGATTGAGGAGTAAATGGGGGAGGAGTCAACAGGCTGAGTGGACTTCTTCTGAATTGTCAGGAGGAAGGTGTGAGGAGCACTGTCCAGTCCAACATGAAACTGAAATGATAATGGAGAGGTGAAAAGAGCAAAAATATAACTGGAATCCTGACAAACAGTCCTGATAATCCTTAAAGCAGGAGTGAGGATCATCTGGCCTCCAGGTCTTTTACAGCCCACTGAACCCTTTTAACCAGCCCACCATGCAATTTGAAAATYCATAAATAAAATAATACAAACTCCWYAGAAAGTYTTAATAACCACTGGTATTTCTGAGGGGGAAATATGACAGCACTGCAAATATCTGAGCCAGGATCAGGGTCAGSAAACACAAGTGCTCACATGTGTGAAAGAGTAGAGAGTGACTGACAGGTGTCCATCATGGCCACTGTGGTAAAAGAAAAGAGGATACTGAATTCTGCAAATTCTGGAAGAGAGGAGCCTGGATTTTTTTATTTTTTATTTTTTTTTTGTTGAACTGAAAAACAAAGCAGTGTGTTTATTCTGTGGTGAGGTGTTGGTGTGGTGAAACAAGCTGAAGTGGAGCCGCTGAATGGACAGATTTGAACTAAAAGTTACTGCACTTTATCAGATTTCAGATTCAACGACAAACAGTTTACTGGTTTTATCTGTTTATAATTATTGCAACATGTGAGTTATCAATCAAGTGTGGCCCTCAGAGGATTTTCCTCATGGGCTCAACACACAGGAGGCGATGCCGCTCTCTCTCCATTCATTTTCTGTGGAGCTTGTGCGATGAGGCAACAATCTGTTGCCCTCCCCGAGCCAAGCGACGGGCAAAACACTTTCGTGTGTGTGACCTGACACATGATAGTTGTCACTGTCGCATGGCGCTAGAACCAATCAGCGAGGGTTTCATTGACTGACCAATGAGTCAGAACTAAAAGGTTTGGGAACCATGTCCTTTCAGTGTCCTCAAAGGTGTTTCTTCTGTAAGCTTTCCCCTCAAAGCAAAACGTAAATAAATAMAAATCAGACCCCCATCGTAGGCTCAACAAGACCAAAAACAAAGACAGTTTTCATTTTAATTAAAACAACCTCAGAATTGACATATTTCTTTCTTTTTTTTATCTTAATATCAGTTAAAACATTTTTGCGACAGTAGCTGTTTTTCCACTGCAAATGTGCGCAAAACTTTGTCGATATTCTGTTA